CTGCTGACCTGGAAGCCCCCCCTAATTCTTAACTTGCTCACCAGTGTTTCTGCAGCATCTAACACTGCTTAGCAGACGCACAAGAAATATTTGTTGAGTGGAAAAAAAAAAGAGAGAGAAGGAACTGACTTCAAGCCGATAGAGGATGTTATCCCAATTATTTTTAGAGTATTTTTGAACAAAGCGGCCAGTTTCAGATGGAGCCCAGTGCTTGATGAGAAAATATCTCGGCAGCATCAGCTTTCACGTGGCCTGGTTAGCCGTCCTTTCGCAAGGAGCGGAAAGAATGCAGAACGGCAAACAGGACCTTGCCCATCGAAACAGCTGTAAAGTTTTACTGTTCTGCAAAATTTGCTTAGGCAGGAATAACGTATTTGAGGAGTAATTAGCCAGGAGCCTTGCTCGCTGGTCCCCCCGCCCCCTGAAAGCTTCAAGTCACTGGCTGATCTGGCCCCCCCTCCCAGCCAGCAAATGGTTACGGACTCCCAGGACGGCTGACCGCTGCCTTTAGCACAAGGTCTCTGAGCCGCTTCACGGGAGAGGGTTTCTCATCCAGCTGGGCACAGCAGCTAAGATGAAGGATGTGCAGGCTTCTGCTCCTTTAAGAAAAGCAAAACTCCGTGTGGCTGAAAAGAAGCGTGTCTTGCAGGACAGCTTCGTCTGGCCTCTGTTCATTTCATTCGTTTGATTCAGCAGACATTTTTGGGGGGCCCTGTTACGTCCCAGGAGCAGAGTGAAAAAGATGTGGTCACGGAAAGAGAGAGACTTGCCATGGTAGTCGCTGGTGGCTTGCAGGACACACAGAAGAGCAGCTGAGCCCCGGCGATCAGAGAAGGGCAGAAATGCCGGAGGGGGTTTGCGAAGGAGGGCGAGGAAAGACATGAGTGGGAGAGGCAGGGCCAGGTTGAGCCACCCATGAGCATGATTGAAGGAGCCTGGATTTTGTGCCCCGGGAAATAGGGAGCCATTGAGGGTGGCGAGGGTCCGCAGTCGGCTGTTGGACCGGGTCATATCATTGACTGATGCCGGTCAGCCAGGTGATTCTGTCACAACTATTGATCGTGGCTCAGGCATGCCATCATTCGCTCTCCTCGCCGTACCCGGTAAGAGGTGAGATTTTATTGCACTTCATTAAATCCCACAAAATGTTTGAACTACCTGCAGCTCTGACCTTTCCGGCCTCTTGCAGGGAGAGGTCGCACTTTTCCTTTTCGGGTGGGGGTAGGCGGACCACAGAGGGAATAGGAGCACGTAAGACCTCTGGAATGCATCAGAGGCGAGCCCAGCAAGAGCCTGTGACTCAGTCCCGCTTCTCCCCACCTCCAGGAGCACAGCCGCTGTGTCCACCAGAGCACTTGGAACCAGCACTGATTTTCCTCTCTCCTCTCTCTGCTTTCCTTACAGACCTCCCAGCCGCAGCTGTCCACACGGGATGCCTCACATTTGCTTGAAACCATCCCTTGAGAGTCTGGCTGCTGTTTTTTCAGCGTGGTGCTAGGGATTTAGTGCAAGGCGTTTAAGGGGTTTTTGTTGCTGCTGCCGTTTTTTATTTATTTATTTTCTTCCTTTGAACCCGGGCCTTGCCCCGCTCCCGCTGGCATGATGGCCCAGTCCAAGGCCAACGGCTCGCACTATGCGCTGACTGCCATTGGCCTGGGGATGCTGGTCCTCGGGGTCATCATGGCCATGTGGAACCTGGTCCCCGGGTTCAGCGCTACCGAAAAGCCAACTGCTCAGGGGAACAAGACAGAGATAGGGAGCGGCATTCTCAAGAGCAAGACCTTCTCCGTAGCCTACGTGCTGGTCGGGGCCGGGGTGATGCTGCTACTCCTGTCCATCTGCCTGAGTATCCGTGACAAGAGGAAGCAGCGGCACGCTGAGGAGCTGGCGCACATCCAGCACCCGGGGGTCGAGCCTCACGCCCACGAGGAAGACAGGTGAGGCTGGCCACCTGCCCCGGACGGGAGATGGACATGCACACCCACACGTGCAGGGCTCAACAATGACGAGAACATTTTAGTCGAGGAGGCTTTCTCCCACTAACGCTTCTGTAAAACAGTTTATCATTTTACCGATACCTTTGTCCTTCGGTCCCAAAGTTTCCCAAATAATGTGGCTTGAATGCATTACAGGTGTGTCAAGATTTTGACACCTCCAGGGGCTCTGCATGGCTCCCGGGGTGGCCAGAGCCTGCACACTGGAAGCTTGTCCATTTACCCCAATGTCCTGTGTGTTTATGCTTTAAGTTGAAAAGGTTGGGGAGTAGGGTTCTCTTTGACCCAAAATGCCACGAACAGATTTAAAAGATAAGTGGTAAATTGGGGAACATATGATAAAGGTTGATATCCCTAGTATAAAAAGAGCCCTTACAGGGGCTTCCCTGGTGGCGCAGTGGTTGAGAGTCCGCCTGCCGATGCGGGGGACACGGGCTCGTGCCCCGGTCCGGGAAGATCCCACATGCCGCGGAGCGGCTGGGCCCGTGAGCCATGGCCGCTGAGCCTGTGCGTCCGGAGCCTGTGCTCCGCAGCGGGAGAGGCCGCAACAGTGAGAGGCCCGCGTACCGCAAAAAAAAAAAAAAAGAGCCCTTACAAATGAATATGAAAGAGGAACACATCAGTAGGAAAATGGACAAAGGACACAAACAAGCATTTCATAGATATTCACACTGTAGATGTTCAACCTCATTAGTCAGGAAATGCAGACAACCAAAAAAAGGCATCGTAATTCCTTGGCTTTCATATTGGCCCAGATAGACTGCCCCCGGGTTTGGAGATCTGTAGGGAA